AGGGGTCAACAGCCTCAACCAAGATGCAGCTTCCTAAAGATCCTAAGCATGCATGTAAGTAATCATTCAATAAATCAATCAATCAATAGATTAAGATTGATACATTTAACTCATCAATCCTTATGTTAGTCTGCTGATAAGGAAACTTTGTTTATGTTTGCATCTTTTGTTAGTCCTCAAAAGAAGACCAGCGTATTGTTTGTTTCCTCTTGAAATCCAATTAAGATTTTGTGAATTCTCATTTCAAAGTGTTTATAAGACAAGCTCCAAAGACATTTTACAAGCCATCATGATTCTACATGTGACTTTCTAGAGTTAGGCCAAAATAAAAAATAGGCTTGTTTAACCTCACCACAACCTCCCCCGACCCAAAATAACAAGTAGAGAAGTGGGAATTTTTTTTTAATTAAAAAATATGAAATTTATCCAAGACTTGCTAATCAAAATCAATATATTTTAGATAAGTTAAAACAATGTTGGTGAAATCCTCATCAAGTACAAATATAGGGTTAAGCTTAGTGGGTATGTGTGATTTTGTAGCCTATGCAATTCAAGTTGTGCCTAGGCATGCCACTGCTAAGGTACTACATAAACCAAGTAGTAATATGCAAATTAATTACTCCTTATTTCAAAATTTTCTAACACCATTGTATTTATCTTTCTTTATTTTAAGTGTGTTTGATTCAGAGGTTCTTTGTAATTCAGCTGTTTGTATCGCTTGGTCAGGATTTCTCTGTTGAATTAGGGTAAGTGTTACACAATATTTAAATATTCTGTTTTCTGTTGTGATTGGTGTCGGGCCATACAAAACAAGGTGTTTTCTAGCCAATGATTGTTGGCGGGCTGCACACATAGGGATTTTAATTTATTTTCGCAGGCCACAACAAAATCACAGTCGGGCCACACCTGGCCCATCGGGCTGCACTTTGTCCACCTGGATGGAACTATGCTTTATGTTCTATAAGCCTTATAACAAGGCTTGAAAAAGGAGTATATTTAGTTGGGAGAAAAACAAAATTCCAAAATTGGCAATGGTTTGGATCTACGACCTTGGGATTATCGAACAGCAAGCATCTTAAACATAAAACTACAGTACCACTCCTCTACTTACCTCTCTTAATTATTTGTATGGAGCTATTACAAATGTTCATTTAGATCGCATCTGAGGATCTCTTACTAATAAAATATCTTTTTATTAGAGCAAAGAGTTTCCATTAGTGGAATAGTAAAGTTATCTTATCTTATCTTTTATTTTATAGGATTTGTGATATGGGTAATAACAAGAGACGTATTGTGCTGTCAACTTCCCATAAAGAAGTTTCTGTCACACCCTTGCAT